CTTTCCCTCCCCTGTTTCTCTCTTTTCCCTCGGAGGTATTTTCTTGTACCTGCTAAACATGTTTCGTAGAGCTCAGGGTGAGGATTGACATTCTCTCTAAACCGTTCAATCAATAAGTCAGCGGGCCTTTCTCTGCTTCTGTTTACAGCAGTGTTCTACATGCCAGCAAACAACGCCACCTGACCGTATTGGTAGTGCAAGGGAATACAGCCAATACGTGGAGCAAACAAGGGGCCATTAACTGTGGAACAGGGGCTGAAATTCATCATACACTGAGTTATAAATTCAATTTTGTGAATTGCCAGTCAATGCCCTCACCCGGGAACAATAGGTGATTTACAACCCGCTTGGCTCAGTCCAGTAAGTTAGGGCAATAGGTGATCCTGGACCCACCTGCCCTGTAATCACATTATTGCTGCGTTGGCCAATCAAACATGAATAAAAAGGTTTGTGTGTTGCAACTGACAGGGAACTGGAAGGTTGAAACTGTGCCATAATGCTGGAACTGGCTGTCATCAACTAGAAATTACCGCAGGTATTCTGGGTATGTGCTTTACATAGCATAATATTGTACTTTTAATACTGTACTTTGGAAAAAAGTCTAAATTTAATTGGTAAATATGACACAGTGCCCTCCCCAGGGACTGTTTACATACAGTATCTACCTAGCTGTCAAAAGCATGTTATGGATTTCTTTTCTTTCACTATATTTCAGAAAAAATGTCTCATTTTACACAGTTAAATTTATTTCACAGCTGAAGTGACCTTGCAGATTACATTAAGATTTTATACAGAAAAACGGATGCTTTTATGAAATACTGTATGTTGTTACAGATTAAATCACCATTCTGTAAATAATAAGTAGGTAAAATGAGCTCCACCTCATGCTGCTTACAAAATGCATCAGTAAAAGGGCTCAATAAAAAATATAGATTTTCTGATTAACTGCGATTCCTATTTGAACAGTTTGCTGATTGATCTTTGCATTTCTGTGCTAAATGTTAAATGTATGCTGAGGCTACTTGTTGTAACTGGTTCAGTTCACATGGTGTGTAAAATGTCATGTTTGTGGAAAACACGTGGTAACAACATGCACAAAAAGGTTATTTTAAGTTATGAAGAATGGAGATTATCGTAGCCGCACTGACTCATGACAATTTGTAAACGCACCCCGTCTTGCAGACAGTCCTGACTGAGGATGTGGCTAACTCGTAGCAGGCCTAGAGAGTTGAGTTTGGAGGTACTTGTACTTTACTTTTTGTTTTACCACATGTATTTCACATTTAGTAGTTACATTTATTTTAAGAGTTTACACAGAATGCATCTAATGAGGGTATATGATTACATACAGTACATCGGATTGCAGATTAAACTACCTGGTTGTTGCGTTAAAATGCGGCTCTCATAATGCATCAGTAAATGTTTTCAAGCCATCTACTGACACTGAAGAGTAGTGACAAGAGCCAGTTTGCTACCTAATGAGGAAATGTTTTAAATGCAGACTTGTAGTATTTTTTATGTTATTTATACCTTTACTTCAGTGAAATTAATATGAAATGTGCCTATCATCTGTGGTTGTATCTGTTAGCCTTTCTATTTGTCTCTGTCTTACCTCCTTAACTTCATTATTTCCTTCAGATCCACACCATGTGCCTAAAATTGTTTAAATGACACATTAGAATTTGTTTATTGTGCAAAAATAAATTCAAACTTTATAGGAGGCTCAAAGTCCAGATAAAAAAAACAACACGACATGTACATAAATACTATACAACAGCACAATAATAATAATATTTTACCTTCAGGTTCAACTCTAGCAAACTCACCTTGTACTTCATACTGAATGTTTTGCCTTAAAAAGGCTTTGTTTGATTAATTAAGTTCATGCACATACTGTATATTTATATCTATTTTTCTGATTGTTTTTTCAATGCACCTCCTGAGAATAACCATATTTTCATAATTCCTTTTTATTTTGATTATTTGGTTCAGTTTAGGTATTTCTCAATATTATGATACATTCAAGAGGTGGCCGAAGATCCTTTATTATTAGAATCTAATGTTTTTAGAAAAGCTCTTCATTTAAGCATCCTGCTGAGCTAAATGGAAAACAGTGGAGAGGATGCAGTTGGAGGTGAAGGAGGGCAGAGAATGGGGCGGATGGTTTTTTCATGGTCAGATCCTTGGTCGGTTTGATCAAGCCATCTATTCAGACATCTCTTGAAAAGAGCTGGCTGTCCTTGCACTGAGTGCTGAATTGATCTACAGCTCACTAGTTATTCTGAGGTAGGCTGTATCTGGAAACGTGGAAAATGACTCATTGAGAAGAATTTCCCATCAGCATTGTCTAGCCGATGTCTCTTAGGGCATTATTTTTTCCACATGAGCAGCAGATTAAGTTCTGATATGAGCTTTGTGGTATGTGGGTCCCTGGACATCTCGGCCAGTTTTGTTATCTGTTGCTATTTTGTTCAGTGGATGTCAGGGAGGTCAGACACATCACTGAGGTTGCGTATGGATGCTAACCTCCACCTTTTATTCCATCACTGTTGGTTTTTTTTGTTGTTTTTTAAGCCCACTCACTCCCAGGGGTTGCATGAGTTTTGCCCAACTCCTTTCTTTCCTGTTTGTCTTTAATAAAAAGAGGTTAATGGTTTAAGTAATTAGCTGCTGAGTATTGACATAGAGGCCACACAAGTGACTCTGTCTCAGTTCAGCCTCTGCTGCTGCTTTCAGTGCACTGCCATTTTCAATGGCATTTATCTCAGTAAAAGAAAAAAAAACAGACCGATTTTGACCTCTTTTTTAAAATTTTAACTGAGGTGAGCCATTAAATAGAGGCCTTTTGTCCATCTAAGAGTGCCTGAGGTATTTTTCCTAACTTCAAGACCACCTTGAGGCCTTCTGGACTTGTTGAAAGTTTTTGATTGTGAGCACAAGGCCCTTTCTTCTTTTGCATCAACTGGACCCGTTTTTACCCCTCTTCACTGGTCTTGTCTTTGGAGCAAAACCGTCTCTTTTATACAGATTTTTTTTCCTATTTTGTTCCTTGTGATGGACATTTGTGAAAATGTCTGAATTTACAAAATGAATTTATTAAACAGAAAACTCTTAGTGTATGTCCCTGATCAAGAAATTAATTCATTTTTTTCCATTTTGAAGTGTTTTATCTATTTTCATTTAGCATTGGTTTAACTGAACATTGAACTACACAACACACGACTGAATGCCACAACAGAATATTTACCTCACAACTTTCTCTCCCTCCCTTTTTTTTTTTTTTTTCATCAGTGTCATTGAAAACCAATCGGGCCTGGAGAATATAACAGAGTTTGATCTTGTTAACTACAGAGAGCTGAAGAACCTGTAAGTAATGCTTTTCTTACATTTAACTGTAAGACACAGACACATGTTTAGCAGGTCATGTTTCGCAACATGCTGTTGTATTGCACTGTACTGTTTGCTCTGTAGATGCATTTCTGAATTCAGTACATCATTTTATACAATTGACTAACCCCCTCTCCTTTACTTACTGTTGCTTGTCAAGCTTTCTGCTACCACACATCACACATGTATGTACATAGTTTACAGTGACAACCAAACCAAAGCTCTTACTGATTCAGGAAACAATGATGGTGATAGATGAAAGGAGGTTTCTCATTTTGATTAGTAAGGGTCAATTTTGACACTGGTAACTTTTGCTTCAACTAGCAAGCTAGCTAATTAGAAGCTCTGTGGGTTGTTTAAAAAGGTGTCATTGGCTTAGGGTGTCCATGTTAACGGGGCACTTAATGGCTTCATAAGTGATTTTGTTTTAAAAGACTAAATTTCCACGCCCCAGGAAAGATATAATAATGTTGTTTATTATGAGGAGAAATAAAAGATCAGTCATTTTGTTCTAACACAACTCGATTTGTCTGCTTAGCTTAGCTTATGCATGTGGACACCCAAACATTACACCAATATACTATTACTGAACATTTTGCTCGGGTTGCTCTAACAGCCTCCAAGTCTTTGCGAAAAGCTTTTCCACAAGATTTTGGACCTTGAATGCAGTTATTTGCTCCCAATCAGCAAAAAGCATCAGTGTTGTCAGCCACTAATGTTGGGTGATAAAGCCTGGCTCACAGTTACCATTCCTGTTCATCCCAAAGGTGCTGGATGAGGTATAGATAAGGGCTCTGTACACTGTATGTAACTGTATGTGTGAGATAGTAGGAATTATTTATATTTAACAAATCTATATCTAGAAATAAAACACATGTTCAAACTGTCCGCCTCTCTCCAGCACGGTCACATCATGTAAGCTGAGACTCATCTCTGCCACTGCCTTCCAGTACAACCTCAAGCTCCAGTATGTGTAAGTGTCCTTGTCAATATTATTTCCTTGGCTGTGTCATGTTTTGGCCTGTGTGTGGGTCACCCTGTTTGCCCCTGTCAGTCAGTGCTTGGCCAGACCATTAATATGGCACATGTCGATGAAGTGAGAGCTTCATGTGACATCACAGAGTCATGGTGGTTTCCCAGAATCACATTGACTCAGTGGCTCGCTCAAATAGTTGTATTACCCATCCACATATCCGATAAATTTGACCCTGTTTATATATTGAAATCACAAATTACGATTATTAGAAGTCAACTTTCTAGAGGGATATTATTTATGTAGTTTATAAAAGGACATATTGGGTTTTTTATCTAATATGAGGATTTGCTGCTTTTCTCTGGTTTTCATCTTTGCAAGTTAAGTATTTTGGGGTTTTAAGCTGTGTGTCAGACAAAACAATACTTTGAAGATATCACGCCTGGACTCTGGGAAGTTGTGATGTCCAATTTTACTCCTCAGTAGTACTCGATAACACTTCAGCTTTACAAGCCATACCCAGTAATGTCTATTCATCAGTGGCTGACCCTTATTGCCACCATCTTGTCCTCATAATTTTGCCGAGTGTGAATGACGTTGTTTTTCTAAAAGGCAGGCAGGACTAGAGATGGTGGGGGGGTGAGGTAGGCAGGGTGAGCTCGAGAAACTGGAGAAGGCATCCACCAGTCACCTTTTACTCGCTCACTTTGGCAGATTATCGACAACTGATGCATAATAAATACACTCCACTAAGGGTCCATTATCACTTAATCAATATTTCACTGTGGAAGGAGAGGGTGGGCTGATTTGGGTGAAGCGTGGGCGCTTCTGTGTGACAGATGTATTTCTGCGACAAAGACAGACTATGACCAAACCAAAGCATGAACATGAAGGCTGCGTCAGCTTGGCCTACTTTCCTTTGTCTCCTTCTGCTCATCTTTCTTGTTTTTTATAAAAATGGTCAGGTCTTAAGAGCAGTTAAAGGAAACTGAGCTGCCGCTCCCGGCTCGGGTCTCCCCCTGTGGGCCCAGAAAGGAATCGAGCTGGTAATAGATAAGCCCCAATGGCTAGCCCATCTGACATGAACTTTTGGGAGCAAGGAAAACAAATAATTGAACCCTTGGCCCTGCCAGAGTGAATATGTATTGGCTTCCATGTGCACTCTCCCCAGTGTGGCTTTTTGTCATCTTCTGAGGGAGGTTTATTTACAGCTTGGTTTCTTGGCTGGATCATTTGAGAGTTGCTGTGATGATATTTTTGTGGACTGACTGAAGTAGCATTCATTTATCACAGCATAATTATGATGTACACAGTTGGAACAGTATATACTGCACTGGTACCCCTGGTGGCACTGAACTAAATGACACCTTAACTATAATAATAATAATGTTGCTAGCAGCAGTTTTTTTGTTTTGTTGTAAAGTACAGGAAATTTGGGAACACAAGTATTTAGTTTTCTGTCCATCTTTTGTTCAGCATAGTGGTCAGCAGTGATTGACTGCACCCACAAAGGTCTGTGCAGCTCAGATCAAAGTTCAGCTAAGTACAGATGAGTCTGATGAAGGTGTCGTTAGTTTTGCAGGTATTATGCAGATATAAACCAAAGTATTGGATACATTTGGCTTGATCATGATTATTAGGATGTATTGTCTGACTTGGTGCCAGTCCATGTAGTAGATGCCGAGATAGTTCACTGAATAAGTGAGAACTTTAACCTGCTGCTGGTGCTAGAGGAAGGGTCAAAAAGATGTCACATTTAACAGCCATCCAGGAAAAGCCAAAAATGTCTGCTGGTGGCACTTGAGGAATAATCAGTGATCACCAATGTCTATATGGTTGGAAACTCTGAAGGCTGGTACAGAATTATATCCATTCAGTAGATGTTGAAGTACTCCCCTCTGGACTAAAGCAGACCAGCACTGCACACCTTGAGCCATGCCACTAGCATAGCTAAAAACCTATAGCAGGCTGTATAAACATCATATCTCCAATAACAGACAAACCTTTTTTCCTAAATCTAGTGTTGTGGAGAGTTTCAGCTTGTGTTGCTAAGAAGTGATTATGACTCTGGGCTAATCACCTAATGTATAGAACACTAAGCAAACACTGAGAGGTGTTTCGGGGATTTTTGTGAATCTGGCTTCTGGCTGGTGTGAAAATCTTGCCAAGGTAATTGATCAGAACCCATTTGGATGCATTAATGTTTTCCACTGAGAGTAATTCAAAGCAGGTTTGCACTATTCTGAAAGTGAGTAATCAAATCACAGCATGACTGCAGGACAGGGCCAGATGACAAGAAGGAAAACAATATTTTAACTTGAAATTTTGCTTTATTTGGGCTGAAAATAGATTATATTTCTGAAGAATTTATACTCTGTATACACTGCAAAAGGATACTGTTGCCTTTATATGCATAAATGCACTGGTAAATTAGTTGTTTTTTGTTTTTTTTTAGAGCTCTTCTGTTCAGGTGGTTCTTTCCTCTAGTTCTAACTTCTAAACTATGTATAAGCTGCTGTTTGTGCCATTTAAATGCAGGCAAAGCAAAGGTACCCCATGTAAATGCTTCCACAAACTAGGTATCCAATAGGTTAAATTACTGCTGATTCATACTGTATAGTGACATAGAAGCAAAGCAAATGTGCTTGAAGGCATAATGTCTTCTCTTTGTTTCACAGGAACTTGGCATCAAATGCTCTGGAGCACATCTCCTGGAGGGTGTTTCATTTTCTACCACTGTTGAACCTGTGAGTCCCTTTACACCGAGAAAGAGGATGCTCTGATTTATTCAAATAAGTTTCTCGTTAGCTCCGGCTGGCTGTAAATAAGGAAATGATCTTACTCATTAGGGTGCACATCAACATAAGTTAAAAATATCAACCATGTGACAAATGTTAACAAGCAGATCTGCAGCTTGTAGACTCCTTAGAAAACGTCCATTAGTGTAAGACCACTTGACTAGACTTTGCTCCACCCCGTTTGTGCCCTCAGAGCTCCATACAGTTTGCTTTGTGGTCAAGCATAATTGCACCTTTAATGGGTATTTGCGTTCAACTGTTTTTATGGTTATTTTCCACAAAACACAACCTTTCATGGAAGCATTTTTAAAAAAAAGCAGGAATATTGCAAAAACGTTTTAATATTTTGCTGAGAAGGAAGAGAAGGTGCATAGATGAAATGTGACAATGTGAGTGACTTAAACGTCTATTGGAGACATCTTCATCATCATCATCATCATAAAAACACCAGATCTATGTGTCGTAATGAGGAAACTGGACTGTACTGCAAGCCAAAAATAAGAAGCGCAGTGACGATTAGAAAAAATATCCATTGTTTTATAGTATATACTTTTGTGAAGATTTTATGTGGGAAAAAGTCGATTTGCGGCAGCACATGTAACTGTGGCCACTGATCCAGAATCCTCTCACAACCCTGCACTACTGCTGCTGGCTTTGTATACTGTACCACTCTCACTAGCATACAGTATGTACAGTTTAGAACTACAGAGAAGTATGAGTAGTTTGAGCTTGAAAGGTCTAATAAAGTTGAATATCTAACCTTGACCTCACAGTCTGAACAGCCAGCCAGTATGGTTTTATTCACCAAATATAAAGGTGCTTTCTAGTGCTAAAACGAGACAAACCTATGATTTTATGCAGAAAGAAAGAGACTTTTGGGCTCTTAAGAGGACTTTTTTGCTGTATGTGCACTATGTACTTGAAGTACAAATATTGCTAGGAAAACGACAAATAAGTAAAAATACAAACGGGTAAATATCTCTATTAAAAGGCCTTCTGGTGCTTGTGCTCTTATGGCTTTGTGCATTCACATACTTTTGCAGAGGTCAATTCACAGGTGAACATATGGTATTGTATAAGAAACTTCTGCTGCCTTTTGCAGATTGATTGATAGCCCTCTATTCAGTGCACGGCAGCGACACTTTTACACAGGTAATGGCTCATGGTTCAAGTTTTTTGAAAGCTGAAGAGAAAGTGCATATTGAAGTTAGATGTATGGAAGGTTGTTTAAACCTTTCATCTACAGATGAACGTCATCAAGGATCTATACTGTATTTGATTTAAAAATGTATATATTTCAAATTACATAAATCATGTTAGTGGTTTCAAGAGGAAAGTATTAGTTTATATTCCATCCTAACTAAAATGCCCATAATATGTGCACGCATTACTGTTTAACATGTTACATAAAAAGAGCATATTTGTGCTAAATCAACTTATTGGCCTCTCTGAGGAAGTAATATTTATGGTGGTTGATTTTATGTTTGAGTTTTAAAGTCTTATTGATTTCAATGATGCAGATTTTCCTCCTTTTTTCCTCAGGGTTTTGAGGGACAACCCTCTCATTTGCTCATGTGACCTCCACTGGCTGCAGCAGTGGCAGCATAATGAACGTGGCGACCTGGACAACCAAATGTTGTCTTGTTTCTCTGATGACCAGGAAGTACCCCTCAACTCTCTGGTGATAGACAACTGCAGTGAGTTCTGCTTTTGTTTTCACATCTGATTGCTCATCAGAAACATTTAGATACAGGGAGAGAGAGGGAGGAGACAAGGTTAATGACCTGCAGTAGTGGCATATAAATACATGGAGAGTGAAGGGAGGGGAGGAGCTCATAGCATCGCAGGAGGACCCCTAGCAGTCTGGGCTTCTAGAAGCATAACTAACTAGCATAACTAGTGTTTCCATTAAAGGAACCTACCAAAATGTGTGGAGCCGAGAAACACTCGTCCTGGGTTCTGCGTTTGTTTCCAGTGTCCTCTGCCCATTTTAGAGATGTGTTCCGGGAGTAAAATTTCAGCACCCCTTAGGAAGTAGTACTAAAATCAAGATTCAGGAATGCAAAGGGGGAGGGGGTGAGTGCTTTCAGAGCTGTGGCACATGATTGGTTAAATGTTAGTCATCAAGTCTCAACATTACAAGTGTTATATTCACTGGTTTAGAGGTCAAATGAGGACTTAGGCGAGTGAACCACAGTGAAGACGTCACATTTCTGCATGTTTGTGTTATGCTTGTTCAACAACTCTATTTGATAAACTGCTCATTCAGTCTCTATTGCTGGCTGATTTTTACCCCAAGGAACATTGCGATCCTCGTCTCACATGCTCTGTTCAGCTGTGTGTGTATGGTCTTGTACTCGCTATGAAGTATTTTTCGCGACAGAGTGAAAACATTTTTGGAAAGTGAGGACATTTTGGCTGGTCCTCACTTTCTGAAACACTTTTTTGAGGGTTAAGGCTTGGTTTTAGGGCCACCTCTTTTTTCAGGTACTCAGACAAACCTGTGGCAGCTGAGCAGGTGCACTGGAGCAGTGAGGCGAGTGCTGCTTTGTCACCTGTTAGAATTAGGTTTAGGTTAGGGGAAGGGCTGGGTTAGGCATTAGGCATTTAGTTCTGATGATTAAGGTTAGGGCAGGGTATGGGGCTAGGGAGAGTGTCAGAGTGTCCTCACAAATATAGAATTACAAGTATGTCTGTGAGGACTGTAGTCTTGCCTTCCTTTCAACAGAGACAGACACATGGGGAAAATACAATGAAAATGCAAAGCAGGATTGTCCATGTCAGCCCGTGATGTTAGGCACGATGAAGGCAAACATAGAGTCGTATCGGTCGTTAGGTTCTGGTAACGATGAAGGCAAACGTAGAGTCGTATCGGTCGTTAGGTTCTGGCAGTGGAAATGAAGATTGAGGGTTCACCTGAGCCAGCCTTAACTATAAGCTTTAACAAAAAGGAAACCATGTCTTCATTAAATCAGTGCAGTGAAATGCAGAGGAGAAATTGGCTCAGCATTGTTGCTTTAATCTCATACAGCAGGAACATCTTGTTGCCAGGAAACATGCGAGAGAGTTTTTGGCTCTGTGCTCTTTTTCTTGACTGCTAAAAAAAGCCTGGCTTAGTTAGGGACATGTTCTCATGTTGTCTCATCTGATGCTCCCAGGTCTGCCTGAGGTGACTATTACCCCCTCCAAAGACAGGATTCAAGAAGGAGGCAACCTGACATTTGAGTGTCAAGTGACAGGAAATCCCACTCCCACTGTGAGATGGCGAACTGAGAAGCTCAACTCTAGCTTCTTTACCGAGGTATTAATGCTTATGTATATGTCAGACAGCTATTACCAGAAGAACAAAATGATCCAATTTGAAAAGACTTTTTCCAGCCGTATAATAAAGGGAAACAAAAGTGTTGTTCATGCTAACTAGTTGTTGAAGTAATTGACCTAGCTTCATCCCATAGCCCACTTGTTACATTAATACTGTACATATATTTATAAGAAAAGTCACAAATTAAAATTAAATTTTTTATTCAATTTATGGCACTTGACCTCTGTTTTAAATTTAGCCTCTTTTTCACGTCAAACCATATGCGGAAAAATCAGTCGAATACGATTCAGAAATTTGTCAAAGAAGTAGGTCAGTTGGTCCGTATTGTTATTTTGGTCTGTTTTGAAATACAGCATCTATTGTATATCTCTGTGGTGACAGAGGGTTCCCTCCACTGTTGCTCTTCAGGAGGTTTCTTCCATATTATGTTTTGCCCTGAAAAGGTTTTTTGATTAGTCTTTCCTTGTTCAAATTGAGGGTCTAGGGATGGGGGGGTGTTGTGTTTGGTACAGAATGTAAAAGCCTAATTCAGCTTCAGACAACTCCTGTTGTTTACACTTTAGGACTGTCACTGTATAAAATGTTACAACTTCATATATATAGCAAAAAAATCAACCAGAAACAAATGAAGTAAAGGGACAAAAATAGTGAAGGGGACAGTACAGATTCAGGACTCAGTGAAATTCCCTATGCCATTTCCATTTCATCTCACTTTTATTGCTGCTTTAAAGATTCAACCCTAAAATACGCTATCACTGGCATTTAATTGTGTCTGGTTATTTATATTTGTGTGTGTGTGTGTGTACATTTCCTTGAACTTGTTTTGTTTTATTTTATTTTACCACTTTCTCTCCTACATATTTTTCTCACTGTTCTGTAAAGCTCTTTAGATCAATTTACAGTGATGTAAATAAAGCTCAGTTAAGCTGTGTAATTTTTTTTTGTATAGTCGAGCAAATTGGATCCCGTTTCATCCCGTTAACCTGTGTATATACCTGTGAGTGATCCATATGTAGCTGTGGCCCAGCTACATTAACCTCTTCTGCTCTTTGTGTGCACTGTCGGTTGCTGCAGGAGAGAGACTGGGGCTCACACTTGGAGCTGGTCCTTTACCTCACCAACGTTTCCTCCAAAGACAACTTGCGCAACCTGACTTGTGAGGCAGAGAACCAAGCTGGGCTCGGGGATGACATGGTGCAATTGGACATTGAGTGTAAGTGCCTACAAAATAAAGCCACACTCCTGAAAGCTCATAGGCTCAATACGAGTCGTCAGTCTTATTGGAGGTTATGGCGAGGGCATACTGGGGCCATTTTTCTTGTGCAGGCAGGGTGGACAGCCAGAGAAAAGAAAAATGCACTACACTGATTTCTTTTAAATGCCCCTTCTACAAATAAGAGTATGTACCCACCATGCTTCTAATGGAGCTCTCTGTCATCTGCCACTCACTCTGGCAACTCGGGAGAAGTGCTGAAATAATATGAGTGAAGTGCTGCAGGTATGGCTTGCCATTTAATGCAGAGATACAATGAGAGAACAAAGGAAAGTGAACTTAGCTCTCTTTGCTCTCAAAGAACTCTTTCACCTCATATACGCTGTACTTCTAAATTAGAGCTTCAGCTTGACCCAGGAGGTTTATTGTTGTTTTCTCCTTTCAGATGCATTAGTGCATCTGGATTTTGAGGAACACTGAGGAATGACAGCACCCAGTGGTCCCACAGAAAACACAGTCAGATGCATTAGTGATACATTACTGAGGATACTACCCAAACAATATCATATATCACCAACTCAGTGACGCTCATTAGAAAATAAAGCCAAAAAGAGCGGGGGCGCCAATCAGCTGAAGCCAAATGCATGAGCATCAAGGGACAGATAATGAACATCAGGAAAATGGGGCTGATAACCTGTGCTAAAATCTGATTTGGGCCTGTGCTTAATGGACTTTTCCCTCCTACTCCGGAAAACCGCTTCATCCACAGTGATTGGCAGTCTGTAAATGCGTTAGTGCAGCTAATCTATCAACATCAACCCCCCTGGTGGACAGCCACTCGTTAACCGCTAGCCCTTTAATTACTCTTAATTACCTCCCAGAACAGTGGGTGCTTACTGCTGAGTGGCTCTCTGTACCACCGATTCATGGTACTCACGTGACGTCCCTTTCATAAAAGAGCTTTTGTTTTTTGCAGTTTTTTTTTTTTTTTTACTTTAAATTTGTAAAATAAAATGTCCTCTTAATGAATTAAGAGGGCATGTTTTATCAATCCATCACCACTATCACCGATTTTGTATGCAAATGGTATGCTTACCTAAGAATCTGCCTGGACTGAATCATTTTTTGTGTATTTGTCTCGTTTCTTAAAATGTTCATTGCTTAACTCTACAGTAAGGTCTGAGAACTGGCAGGCTCATAAAATATAGTTCTAGCCCTCCTTTTAACCCCTGCTGCAAAATAGCTTTTGTGATATTAGTAGAGGTCACTAATGGATGATTAGTTAAATGTGATAAATAGAACTAATTTTCACTCAGTGGAACAGGCTTCAGCAAGCTCAAGCAAAGAGACAAATGCCTCAGTATCCCCTTAGCACAGCATTTTCTGAGGCTGGGTCATGGGTTAAGAGCAGCAGGATGGCCCCAGCAGAACGAGGGTCTCTGCACTTGAGAGTTGTGTTCGATCTAAACGGGGCCATTTCCTGTAACTTCATGTCCAGTGGAGCTTCCAGGTAGCTTTTGTGGTCAGGGGCACAACGATGACCAGGATTCATTATTGATAGCAGGTCAGCACAGGTTTGCAGTATAGATGGAGACCATTGATTTATGGAAACCCACGGTGAATCTATAGGGCACGTGACATAACTTTACAGTATATTGTTTATGATCATGGTGCCCATTCAGCATAAAACCATGGTGAACAGACCTGTACATTTAAATAAGCATTTCTGTAATTATTAATAGATCTACTGGTAGTTATCAAGACTCAAGGTCATACTTAGCTAGTTTTAGGGTACTTAGAGTAAGTATTTTCATTTTGCTACTTTACCCTGTCTGGCTACATTTCAGAGTGAAATATTGTACTTTTTATGCCACTTCATCTGATAACTGCAGATACTTTCCAGACTGAAAACATGCTTATTTTATGAGATGATTTGAAGTTTATGAAGTTTTGTAGTTAGTTATAGTGCCTTGCGAAAGTATTCGGCCCCCTTGAACTTTGCAACCTTTTGCCACATTTCAGGCTTCAAACATAAAGATATAAAACTGTAATTTTTTGTGAAGAATCAACAACAAGTGGGACACAATCATGAAGTGGAACGAAATTTATTGGATATTTCAAACTTTTTTAACAAATAAAAAACTGAAAAATTGGGCATGCAAAATTATTCAGCCCCTTTACGTTAATACTTTGTAGCGCCACCTTTTGCTGCGATTACAGCTGTAAGTCGCTTGGGGTATGTCTCTATCAGTTTTGCACATCGAGAGACTGAAATTTTTGCCCATGCCTCCTTGCAAAACAGCTCGAGCTCAGTGAGGTTGGATGGAGAGCGTTTGTGAACAGCAGTTGTCAGTTCTTTCCACAGATTCTCGATTGGATTCAGGTCTGGACTTTGACTTGGCCATTCTAACACCTGGATATGTTTAGTTGTGAACCATTCCATTGTAGATTTTGCTTTATGTTTTGAATCATTGTCTTGTTGGAAGACAAATCTCCATCCCAGTCTCAGGTCTTTTGCAGACTCCATCAGGTTTCCATCCAGAATGGTCCTGTATTTGGCTCCATCCATCTTCCCATCAATTTTAACCATCTTCCCGGTCCCTGCTGAAGAAAAGCAGGCCCAAACCATGATGCTGCCACCACCATGTTTGACAGTGGGGATGGTGTGTTCAGGGTGATGAGCTGTGTTGCTTTTACACCAAACATAACGTTTTGCATTGTTGCCAAAAAGTTCGATTTTGGTTTCATCTGACCAGAGCACCTTCTTCCACATGTTTGGTGTGTCTCCCAGGTGGCTTGTGGCAAACTTTAAACGACACTTTTTATGGATATCTTTAAGAAATGGCTTTCTTCTTGCCACTCTTCCATAAAGGCCAGATTTGTGCAGTATACGACTGATTGTTGTCCTATGGACAGAGTCTCCCACCTCAGCTGTAGATCTCTGCAGTTCATCCAGAGTGATCATGGGCCTCTTGGCTGCATCTCTGATCAGTCTTCTCCTTGTATGAGCTGAAAGTTTAGAGGGACGGCCAGGTCTTGGTAGATTTGCAGTGGTCTGATACTCCTTCCATTTCAATATTATCGCTTGCACAGTGCTCCTTGGGATGTTTAAAGCTTGGGAAATCTTTTTGTATCCAAATCCGGCTTTAAACTTCTGCACAACAGTATCTCGGACCTGCCTGGTGTGTTCTTTGTTCTTCATGATGCTCTCTGCGCTTTAAAAGGACCTCTGAGACTATCACAGTGCAGGTGCATTTATACGGAGATTTGATTACACACAGGTGGATTCTATTTATCATCCTTTGTCATTTAGGTCAACATTGGATCATTCAGATATCCTCACTGAACTTCTGGAGAGAGTTTGCTGCACTGAAAGTAAAGGGGCTGAATAATTTTTCACGCCCAATTTTTCAGTTTTTTATTTGTTAAAAACGTTTGAAATATCCAATAAATTTCGTTCCACTTCATGATTGTGTCCCACTTGTTGTTGATTCTTCACAAAAAATTACAGTTTTATATCTTTATGTTTGAAGCCTGAAATGTGGCAAAAGGTCGCAAAGTTCAAGGGGGCCGAATACTTTTGCAAGGCACTGTAGCTCCATCACAACCAGCTACAACATGAAAGTACAGTACCACATATTAATACCTCAGTAATAATGGTTAAGTAATCTAATAATGTAACACTGACAGGGGGCATGATGAGCACTTTTACTTTTAACATGTCTATTGTTGCTAGTACTTGTATACATAGGTAAACCTTTGAATGCTGGACTTCAACCCATAATGGAGTATTTTTATACAGTAGTATTTCTACTTTTACTGAAGAGATTGACTACATTATCCACCTCTGGCAGCTACTGTAATATGATATTTCAGAGATTCAGCTGCAGAGGTTCTGCAAGACAGATTCGGTGGCAGATTTGGAGCTAGTCATTTTCCCTGTCTTCAGTCTTTGTGCTAAGCTAACGGCTGCTGTTTCTAGCTGCATATTTACTATACAGACATGAAAGTCTTATTTTTCTTAGTTGACCTTCCAGAATTAACTAGGTCAAGAGAAGATTAGGAGCTTGCAACTCGGCATTTTTTGTGGAGGGAAGAGAGTTGCCCTTTCACTTTTCTACTCTACTGCTTCATTTCTCTAACCACCCCATAAACTCTCAAATCTATCATTTCCCACCAGTCCCAGTCAAAATCATCACCCTAAAAGATGCTGAGCCGCAGCACCACTGGTGTTTCTATTTTGCTGTGGATGGCAATCCTGAACCAACCATCACCTGGCTGTACAATGGCGAAAAACTGATTGAGACCTTGTACGCATACACCCAGTACATCCCCGACTCAGGTGACGGATCAGAGAAACACGGTTGTCTGTTCCTCAACAAGCCCACCCACATCAACAACGGCCAGTACACTCTGATTGTAGAGAACAAACTGGGAAGGGCTGAAGCCAGTGCCACCGGGATGTTTATGGAAAACCCCTTTGAACCACACAATCCTGAGGGGATAATTCTTGGTAAGTTCCTGAAATTGTCTGTAGTTTCAGGATGGTTTTTACAGAGTTGTGTGCCATAACAGGAAGGCCATTAGGGCAGCTGTAAGAGAAATCTGTCTGAATGTCTTACAGTTTAAACACTACTTGGTCCAGTGTTGATACAATTAGTTGCTTAATTGGTAGCAGTCAGGTACACATCATACTAACCAATTCACAGCAATGAGTAATAAACTGCTGACAAGTAGATTCTGACCTTTGTATCAAGGATGATATAAGTTATTTGAAACCATGATTAGCTCTTGGATATCTGTGAATCTGAGTCAACTGCTGGCACAAAAATCAGTGGTGGAAGAAGTACTGTACTCAGATACTTAAGTAAAAGTTGCAATACCACAATGTACAATTATTCTGTTACAAGTAAAAGCCCTCCAGTCAGAATTTGACTTGAATAAAAGTACTGGAAAGAGCAGGCCCTGACAAAGGCCACAAGCTGAAATGTATTGGTCTCACATTACATTTGTTTTAAACACTGCAAGCGTTGCTGGATTTTGACCTTTCAGTTTTTCTTCCTCATCTGTGCACCGTGGCTGAAGTTGTGCCAGAAGTTTCTGCTTTGACTTAAATAAAAGTATAAAAGTATTGGCATCAAAAGATGCTTTAAACACCAAAATAAGTATATTCCCCAAAATGTTGAACTATTCCTTTAACGTGTAAATCTTGAATGGACTCTTAAAATATATTTTTTTGTTTAAACAAAAATCAACCCCTGAGATTCAGTGTCACTATTAATCAACCTGATCGGTAAAATAAAAAACATTCTTTAGCAAATCAGTGTGAAAAAGTTTCACATGTAGCATCATGATTTCTTTGGAACAGCAGATCTGGACACAAAATGACGTTTTGAGAAAAGACAGCAGTTTACTAATAAGCTGGGAGCTTAAGGGTTGGTGTACTGTCGGGTGTAATTACACTGACCTCCATCATATCATACTTCTTATACTCAAATGGCACTTGGGATGTATCCCCACACAGTGTTCCATTGCTCCATCTTTATCAGGCAGTGTTGACTGTTAAAGGTTTAATATGGAAACAGGTTGTGCACGAAGTCTCGAAATAGTCAGTACAACCCTGAATAGCGCAGTCTGCATCTTTGGATCTCTGTTCATAAATGTGTTTTTGTTCTCTCCTCTCATGCCAGTCGATGATGTGGATCCAAGTAAGTCTTTGATTGGTTCTGATTCTCGTAAAGCTGAGTATGTCTCCTCAAAACTGCACAGACCTGAGAGAGGATATTTCTGAGTCCTAACTAATCTCATTCTGCTCTTCAGTTCCTACAAACAAATCCAACATGGACGTTGCAGAGAACCCGGAGAGTCGAGTTTTCGTGGTACGTCTGTGCGTCCTCATTTTCAGCACAAATGTCATGATAGTATTACACATCCATAATATGAGTGAGTGTAACTACAAATCAGTGTGTCTTTGTTTGAACAGGTGTCTGTGGCTGTGGGTCTTGCAGTGTTTGCCTGTATTTTTCTTCTCATTATGGTTTTGGTTATTAACAAGTGTGGCCAACATTCCAAGTTTGGTATTCACCGTAAGTTAACACAAATTATTTCATTTTGCTGCATGTGTAATATGGCAACTAGTCAGTTAAAGACTTCAGCACTGTGGGGCAGGCTACATTAGCTGCTACTAGCACAACACACCTGGATTTCTGAACAAGCTGCTGGTGGTTCAATTGCATTGTGGTTAATGTAAGTGCCAGGTTTTAACAAGGAAGAAAAAAATACTCTTATCTGGTTCTGTTGCATTGATTTAGATCTTTTTTTTTTTTTAATACAGTCTTCAAGTCACACTATATTGGAAACCCTTAAAATATTAAATTCTGGCATTGTGATTTATTTGAGACAACAGGTTGGAGACTAAACAATTTTCTGAGACATTACAGATAATTGATACAGTGTGACTTTCCATTTCACTTTTAGAATTCAGTTTGTTGTTTATAATTCAATCTGTTGCTGGACTAGTGTTGCAAAAGGAATGTAGCTCTGTAGATGACATTGCCTCAGCCCAGAACCACATCTGAAAATGCATATGTGACCTGGAATGAGCCATAATCAAACGTTCTGCCAAATTATTGTTTGAAAGTGCAGATGGTTCTGCCAGGCTCTCAGAATGTAAATACACAGGAGAGACTGACTAATACAGGATTTCCACTGAGCTGTAACTTTGCACACAGGCAGCCGCTGTGTCGGCCTGGCTAAAGTGCCTTAATTACTGCATGAGAACGGCGGCAAAAACCTCTCTTGGCCACCGCCACGTGGTGAGGGCCATTAAAGAAGATGGATGGATGGATGGATGGAGGAACAGCTAGACGTGATATAGCTCCACTCTGACCCCACCGCCCAACACACACACACACTTCTCACTCTCAAAGTGCCTAAGTGAGCCTGATTGCCTAAGTGGACCCTGCTCCCTGTTTCCTTCCCTCCGTCGTGTCTGTGCTCTCTCTTTGTTGTTCCATTTTCTGCCGTGTTGGACTCTGGGGGTTCTGTGGTTTGCCTTGCTGAGTGGGGTTTTACAATTTGGGCCCCACTTCTTTGGCTTTTAATATGCAGTGTAGTCAGGAGTTGCAAACCATTCAGGCTTCCTACATGGTCATTTCTTCACTTCATTGTATCCTGATTGCTGCATGGTTGATGATGGTGATTATTAAAGCTTGTCATCTTCTGTCACCATGGTACCAACAAATGTGAAACCAAGTAGGTAGCAGAGAATGTCGATTCCTCAAAGAGGAAAAATGGGTTCTGAATTGCTGCTTTTGATGGCCACTGCAATCATAAAGAGTTGGAGACTGATTAGGTGTTACACATCTCTAAGTTTTAGTTGTTTGCTTCCCTCCCCGTTTCATTAGGTTCATCAGTTTTGGGTACAGAGGATGACCTGGCTGTGTCGCTTCGTTTCATGAACTTTGGATCCAGCCCACCTTCCTCAGATGAAGACTCTGGATTATCCAGCTTTGTAGAGAATCCACAGTACTTCTGCGGCATCATCAAGGACAAAGACATGTGTGAGTGTAATTGTTTCTACTCTGCTGATGTTTGACCATTTGTTACTGACTGCACACTCATGCTTATTTCCCCGAGTTCAGTGACACTTTAGAGTCTTATTTGTTGGTGTTGTTATTTACAATGCTGTACTTCTTACTGTTTTTGTTTGTCAGTTACGGAAAGCACAAAGTGATTTCAGATTGGGCAACTAAATAAACCAAATAGATGAAATCCTAAGCAAATATTAACTTTTACTGCACACAAGACATCAGTCTCCTCTAGGTGTTTAGACCCAGATAGTCAGGCTTTTTCTGTTTAATGATCAGGTGTCCAGCATATTAAACGGCAGGACATTGTGTTGAAGTGGGAGCTGGGTGAAGGAGCATTTGGCAAAGTCTACCTAGCAGAGTGTGCCAACCTCAGTCCCGACAGCGACAAGATGCTGGTCGCCATCAAGGTGAGTAACTCTGCTGTCAATGTATTTTCATTCCCTCTATACATTGGCACCATTGGTGAACACTGTTAGGTCTGAGCAGCACACGACACCTCTGTTACTGTAGGTTTTTGCTCAAGTATTGATAAACGATGACAACCAGCATGTTTTTTAAATGTGTGCTCTTTGTGTGGTCACAGACTCTGAAGGATGCCAACGAATCGACCAGACAGGACTTCCAGAGGGAGGCGGAGCTGCTGACGGTGCTCCAACACCAGCACATTGTGCGATTCTATGGTGTCTGTACAGACGGAGAGCCGCTGGCCATGGTGTTCGAGTACATGAGGCACGGCGACCTCAACCGTTTTCTACGGTACGTAGCAGACCTGATCATGATGGTCGGAAGGTCACAAAATTCAATTCCCACATCAGCCAGACTGTCCCTACTGAGCAACATGCTAAATCTTCCAGTAGTGAATGTGAACAGAAAGTGTGTTAGGGCAGAGAAACATGGGGCCAATAGTCGGCTGTTGGCCACTGTCAGGCCGGCGGTGAGCGTCTGTCGGAGCTAGTCTTCCTAGTGTGGTGCTTCCCTGCCTCAGCCTCCTGTAAAGAATTTTCTTATGTTCGGCTACAGGTGTCAATGTGTGACCAAAAATAAGATCATCTGTATCTTTCAGAAACTTGGTTTAATCCCTGTCACATGCCTCAGTCTATTCCCTTCTTTTGTTTCGCACATCAAGTCACGGATTGCTGTGTGCACGCTGCAGTGCATCAGCTACAACTGGCACAACGTGCATACGTGTGCGCCATGGTGTATGAACCCTGACCACTGCGCCTCAGCTTGTAATTTGCTTTGACATTCTGTATTAGGACAACAAATTAATTATTTTCCCATTTATTATCAATCTAAATTAATCCACTGTCAAATACAGGAGCTTGTTAAAACTAAAGCCTGTGATTTGCACAGCAGATCAATACTGGTGCAGGTGCCCCAGTAAAAGGGGTTTAACAACTCCTATGGAGGTGTGTGTGCCTGTCGTTCACCACACAGTTTCTCAGTCCTTGCAGTTGACGGACTCTCTTGTCATTTTCCACATGCAAACATGTACTTAGCCTTTAGTGCAGCCGGTGTGGAGAATGCTGACTGTTGGATGGACAAGCAGTCAGCATTGTCCCTGGCTGCGCACAGGATTATTTGTCTGTTCAGTGAATATAGTGATTTGCTGAAAGTTAAACAACTGTTAAACATAAGAAACTCTGACAAGCACTTATTGTAAGTGACTGCACTTGTTAAAGCTGCAGCTCTGCTACAGCATCAGTCAGACCCACTCAGCTGACCCCAGCGGACCATGTGGTTCCAGTGGTCACTGTGTGTTTAAGTAGAAATGCATGAAGCACGAAACGGCTGTGGAAAGGTTTGTACATTGTTGTATAGGCTGTTATTTTTGGTATCTTTGCACATTGTTGCTTTTCGTCCATCTCTGCACTTTTTCAGAGTTTTTCGAGTCAAAACTTCAAAATAAATTGCCCACTTTTTGCTAAAGTAACTCACGTGCTTGTTAATTCTTGCCACCACTTGTTACTTCATAATGACTTTCCTCATAATGTCTTCCTTTTTCTTCCACTTTGAATTATATCACCTCAGTGATACAGAAAATAGAAGCTGCTGTGATTTGTATAGAAGAATATTTTGCTGTGCTAAATCAGAAATTGTTGCATCCCAGGCAGGTTTTATATTTGCTACAAATGTGATTCACAATATGTCAAGACACGGGGCAAATAAAATAATTACAAGATGTCCTCACATAATAATAGGAAGCTAGGAGAATTTCATATGTAGCAGGATTTCATTTGAATACTGATGGACACACTAAATAACTAGATTCAGCACTTAAGCAGAAATAGACAAGTTTCCTTGAACTGTATACTGATCTAATGTGGCCTCCTGAGACGGGGTTGTGTAGCAAATTACTTCATAATAACACTTTTTGTGCAACATTGTGGCAGAAGAGCTTTAAAGCATGTTCTTTCAACCATTTAAACAGTAATGTAACCACATCTAAGTTTAGAAACATCTGGAGGAAGCTAAAGGAGTCACTGAGGCCTGAGACAGCGTTGACCTATTAGCGCTCACGTGGCACCTGGGAAGCCATCTGACAAAACTATTAGAGCGGATGCAGCTGATGCTGTCTGCCAGGTGTCCTCCACAGGAGACGGATTGGAAATGAAAACGAACAGACAAACACATGCACATGCATGCGCACAGCATTTTTCCTAAGATAGATGTTTACGAATGGTTGGAAATTGCATTTCCAGCAGACAGAATGGGTGAAACATCTGAGGGCCCCCACAATGCAGCTGCTTTCCCACCCTGCCACCTGCCTTTTAAACTAATAGTGATTGTATAGACAACTTCCTTTGTAAAGAGAGGACAAAGTGGAGAGGAGAGATATTAGGATGGATGGAGACACATCATCTCTCATTTGCTCATTTAGGCTGGACTTAGACACGAGTGTGGGTGTTTATGATCCACAAGAACAACTGAGAGTCGATGTGCTCTGCATCTCTGAATTGCATTATTGCAAATCACTTGTAGACATATTAGAATTTTCATGTTTTCTATTAAGGAGTCATCATTAAATGGATTTATTGTGGCATGGTCATACTGGCCCTGCCTGTAATGCTCTCAAGAGCTCATATATGACAGAAATGTTCAATCTGCAGATTGCATGCTGAGGTCAGTGTCCTTCAGGTCATCCACAGTTGATGCCATAGTTACCAACATACTGAACTGGTCCTTGTTTGATTAATCTGAACAGAGGCCAGGAGTTCAGTTCAGTTCATAATGGAGAAAATCAAACTAGTTTGGTGCAAATGATTGTAATGCCAGAGCACTGCAATAAGAATCTTTTCTGTGATAAGGAATAATTAACATTTCTTGAAACTAGCATAAAAATCATGCCAGACCTTAAAAAGTATTTTAAGGAAAAACTAATAAAACTTCAAAAATGACTTGTAGTACATTTTAGACACACACTGAGTCCTCAAAAAAGAAGCCTTACTCCATTTGTTCCAAGACTTTTCTAGACCCAATGTCATTTTTGCAGTGTAATAAGATTACTTGTGTTTAAGTAACAGCTATTTAGATAAACTGCATAGTTTTTGCAATGATGCCTGTGCCTCTAACCAACTCACCTAAAGTTGAGATATTCCCAGTGTTGTTTCTGTGCTCATGCTAAAACAGAAGCAGATTGAATAACATACTTTAGAAAATCCAGACAAGTTAACTTGAATCATGTTGAGTGACACAGGGTTATTTCACTTTGACAATAAAAAGGATGAAGGTTTTTACTTTTTTGCAGTAGCCTATGTTGTTTTTAAACAGCAGCAGCTTTACAGACCCTGAGGTGATGTACAGCTCTGACACATCAATGGTTTCCTGTGTCACCGCCCTGATGGTAGCTAAGTGATGGAAATAAACATCTACACACAGGGTCCAGTGGTGGAAAAGTTCATTTTTACTCAAGTAATGTACTTGAGTATGTCCCTTTTTTATATACAGGGAAATATTGTACTTTTTACTCCACTACATTTATTTGACAGCTGTTACTTTCCCCCAGCGGCGTGTAACAGAAACAACACTTTATCAAAACTTGACACCTTGACCTACAACGTCTTAAGCTGCCTCTCCCCTTGTACACAGAAGCAAATTTACTACTTCTTATGACAGAACAGAGGGTTAACACAGTGACCCCCATGTCAGCATGGTGTAAAATTGGCGCAGTAATCCTGCTGTGAATGGGTCAGGAAGGGCAGCCGGCCTAAAAACATGCCAAATTTAATCATGCGAATTGGAACAGCCGAAAGTAGAGTAGTAGTAATCGCGCTGTGAATGGGCAGTGTGAAAGGGGCTGTAGTCAACGAGGTCAAACTATTGATTATATGTCAAAAATAGGAAAACCAAATTGTCTAACAAAACTTTCTTGTTCATCCTTCCAACCCCATTAATTCTCTCATGACCCCTCAGATGTGTCTAGTGATGCTCTGGAGAGGGCTCGGCCCCTAGGTTGGGGACCACTGGACTAAACTACCAAACCTCATAAAGAAGTTAAATCTAGCTCCACCTGCACCAGCTACAGCAGTGAAATGCTGCCTATGCACTGGTGCATCAGTGGTCTTAATCTGATATTCGTCTATACTTTTAGTTTTAATATTTACATATATTGTGGTGCAGATGATGCTGCAGTACTTCTACTTGTAATATTTGTGCTGCTCCCACTACCTGGGACTAATTTCTCCTTTCTTATGTTACAGTTTTCCCTAACAACTGATATTAAAGCCGACATACTATTAAAATAATCTGAACAAAAAGTAGATGTGCAATCGAGTGGCCTTGATCCAAAAACACTCGCGTCCTGTGTGTCTTTAGGGCTCACGGCCCTGATGCTCGCATCCTGGAGGAGTCCAAGCTGGCCCCTCTGGGTCAGCTCACTCTGCCCCAGATGTTGCACATCGCCGCCCAGATCGCCTCAGGCATGGTCTACCTGGCATCGCTTCACTTCGTCCACCGCGACCTGGCAACCCGGAACTGTCTGGTGGGGGAGGGCCTAGTGGTCAAAATCGGAGACTTTGGCATGTCACGAGACATCTACAGCACAGATTACTACAGGGTAAGTGAAGCTGAAAAAGACACGACTTGACTATGATGTTTTCACAGGGTCTCCTCAGCCAAATTACAAAATCAGTTGGGTTTTTGTATTGAACCACAATGTTGTCTGGTCTTGCAAACTGTTTTGGTTTTATGTGCCAGCTTCCTGCTGCTCCCTCCGGGTCAAATTTGTGGTGCTCCACGCACAGAAAAACACGAGATCCAACAAACTTACCAGCAACTTCCCTTTTCAGAAGCATCCTAAGGAAATCATCTTTGACTTTAGAACAAGAAGAGAAAGGCACCGACAAATAGCTGGTGATGGGGACTGTATTGAAGTTGTGAATGACTATAAATATCTTGGGACAGTTATTAATGCAACGCTATCATGGGACTCAAATACAGATACCATTTATAACGAGGGGCTACAGCCATTATAGTTCATGTGTAAGCTTTGACAGTTTGTGGATAAACATTTACTGGATAATTTACAGATTTCACTGGTACAAATTTGCAGCTCTTAATAAATCGCACTGTGCAGAATGACCCAACAGTGTGTGAATAAAGATCTTTTAGTGTGGCTTTGGCTCACAATGCCCAGTTAGTGAGGGGCAAAGTTACAGTAATCAGCTGGACTCGCAGGTTTCTTATAAATCTGACAAACTGCTGGAGAAATTATATTTTGGCACAGAGGAACATGAAATGTGAGCCACAAGATTTTTATCTGTCAGTGTGGAAATATGCTGTATAGTAGTGCCACCTTGAATGCGTCAGTGTAATGATGAAAATTACAGCATCCAGTCTCAAAATGACCTAATGATGAAACACCTAATTACGTTTAATGTTGAAGCCACAGACTGTAGCTAGTTTACTGTATATTTTTGTTAGCTTAATCATAAATCAAAAGATGGTTTTTGGAACTGAGTATGGAGAGTTGCTGAAAACTGGAGTTAAAAGATAAAGATGATTCTGAAGCTGTCAGTTTGTAATAGTTCTCCCTCTTGGTAAATATTTTCTTTAGATACTGAATTAGATCAAATTCAGCTTTTCATTGTGAAACATGCTGCACCTCTCACTTTTTCCTGAAGTGAGTTTGTTGTACCTTTTGAGGTAGAATGTACAGAGAGGTGACAAATTAAAGGAAAAACAACACAAAGTGCGTCAGTGAGGTGCTGGGCCACCACCAACTTGGCTGAGATCTGGTGACTGTGACGGTCATAGCATATGATTCACATCGTTTTCATACTTGTCAAACCATCAGTGGCCCCTCATGTCCTGTGGATGGGGACACTGACATCCTGGAATAGTCCACTCATTTTTCAGATTTTACATTTAACTTATTATATAATTATAAAGATCTACGACTTGTTCTATGTACACAAAAGGCCTATTTCTCTCAAACATTGTTCACAAATCTGTCTAAATTTGTGTTAGTGAGCACTTCTCCTTTGCCGAGATAATCCATCCACCTCATAGGTGTGGCATATCCAGATGCTGATTAGACGCATGATTATTGCACATTATTGTCCGAAAACCAGTCAGTATCTGGTGTGACCACCGTTTGCCTCACGCAGTGCAGCACATCTCCTTCGCATAGAGTTGATCAGGTTGTTGATTGTGTCCTGTGGAATGTTGGTCCACTCCTCTCCAATGGCTGTGCGATGTTGCTGGGTATTGGCAGGAACTGGAACACGCTGTCGTATACACCGATCCAAAGCATCCCAAACATGCTCAATGGGTGACATGTCTGGTGAGTATGCTGGCCATGCAAGAACTGGGATGTTTTCAGCTTCCAGGAATTGTGTACAGATCTTTGCAACATGAGGCCGTGCATTATCATGCTGTAACATGAGGCGATGGTCGTGGATGAATGGCACAACAATGGGCCTCAGGATCTCGTCACGGTATCTCTGTGCATTCAAAATGCCATCAATAAAATGAACCTGAGACGGTTTCTGACAGTTTGTGCAGAAATTCTTTGGTTATGCAAATCGATTGTTGCAGCAGCTGTCCTGCCGCCTGTCATTTGCCCTGTACAGTGAAAACCGGGATTCATCCGTGAACACCTCTCCAAAGTGCCAGATGCCATTGAATGTGAGCATTTGCCCACTCAATTTGGTTACAACGACAAACTGCAATCAGGTCGATACCCCCATGCACCCCCATACACATAGAACAAGTCGTAGATATTTGAGTTCAGCTCATGAAAAATGGGGGCAAACACAGAAGTGTTGCATTTATAATTTTGTTCAGTGTAGTAACCTGTTGCCAATGGTGGAAGGTAACTAAGTATATTTACTCAAGTGCTGTACTTAAGTACAATTTGAGGTATCTGTACTTGTATTTTCATTTTGTGCTACTTCATACTTCGGTTTCACTACATTTTAGAGGCAAATATTTAACTTTTTACTCTACTGCATTTCAGCACTTTAGTTACTCTTCAGAATCAGATTAATTAAAAATAGTATAATCATAAGACTATTGATCTATGGTGGAAAATTCACTTGATACCCAACAGTAAATCCAATTATAAGCATATAATCTAGCTAAAACTAGCCAATACATTAATGTTAAATAAGGTATTTTGCAGAATGAATACTTTTAGTACTTTGTTTTGATGCTAATACTTTTCTGTAACATTTTAAATGCACCACCTTTACTTGTAACAGAGCACTTTTAAACTGTGTAGTACTCAGCTGTACGTATATTCTATTAGGTCAAGTTTTTCCAACCAAGCTGAATAACGGTAACCGACTTTAGTCTGGCCTTGGTGGAATTTAAATACTTGAAATCCACCTTATTCTGATTTGCAGAGGCCATCTCTTAACGTGTCACTGATGCAAAAAAAGGGGGGTTTTGTTGGCAGGAGGTCCATTTTTTTAAACAATAAATTACTATGAACTGATCAGTGAAAGCTCTTTGTGTCCAGAATATTTGACTCTCATTGATTTAAAGCTGGTCCTCTGCAGAGCGGTAGAGTTTAAGGGTGGAGAGTATGGGAATATGTTTGGTTAAAATATATGTTTATTTCCAAAATTCATAAATGTTAAAATGCTTTACATGCCATTGCATATTCATTTATGTTGGAGTGAATGAACATGCACTGCCTTGTCTGACTCCTCAGGTGGGTGGACGTACGATGCTGCCGATCCGCTGGATGCCTCCAGAGAGCATCATGTACAGGAAGTTCACTACGGAGAGTGACATCTGGAGCTTTGGCGTGGTCCTCTGGGAAATCTTCACCTATGGCAAACAGCCCTGGTACCAGCTGTCCAACAGTGAGGTGGGTCAGGACAGAAGCTTAGTCCAAATTTAAGGTGCTAGTCTGTCATTCTTTCTTGTTTTTTTTTTTTGTTTGTTTGTTTAAATTCTCACGTTGGCTATTTTATCATTACCAGTAAGACGAACAGCGTCCCCTGCCTCATGTAAAGGGCCAGTTCAACAATAATTATTTTTTTTTCTAAGCTTTTTTTTTTTTTTTTTTTTTTTTTTGGTGTGGTGTTAGTACTTTTATTTTGTAACGCTCGCTTTCACATAACTTGCAGAGCATTTTCACTGTAGCTGTAGATGCCTCTGTGCATAGGTTGCTGAAGTTTTATAAAGCCCAGCGCTCTTAAACTAATCAATAAGTTTATAGTAATTAAGAGCAGTCCAGTCTGGCGTTTTCAGCTTGAGCACTAAGTGGGACTCCACTGTGACCACAGCAGTGCTATTACAGGCCCAAACCCTCTCTCCTTTCAAGAGAAGGGTAGATCACTTTCCCTTGCACTCGATTCTAATCTCATTGGCTTTCATTTTTGCCCAGGGCCAATGAGCTGTAACCTCATTAACCTAATCTGTCTCGGCCAATGAAGGACAGGTGAAATTATGTTGCCTAAACACACAGTGACGGACATAAATCATCCTAAAATACAGAGTCTGCACACTGTGGCGACGGTGGCCATTTTGACTGAGTCTTTCTGCTCAGCTGAGACTGACGGGCCATGTTGAAGTGGCTCAGTGCTGACAAGCCTCTTTCTGTTCATTGGATCAGGCCGAGGTTAACAACGGGGATGATTGAGTCAGTAACCCTTCAAATGGAGAGCGTTGTGAAATGCTCCCTCTCATCCTCAACAGTGATTTATTCACTGAGCACCAGGAGTGTGTGAACTCATCAGTCATCGCAGCCATTAGTGTCGGAGCAGGAGGTTATTCATATTTTGGCTGCTCTCATTTGACATGAGTTCTTTGCTAATTGACACATCTGCAAATACCAAGGCTGTTGGGCCAAAAAAAATTATATTTATGAAAAAGTATTTATCCTTGGTGCAGCAGAGAGAAACTCAGTTTTTCACAATAGGTGACATTTAGTCCTGTAAACATTCCCTGTCTTAGGTCAGTCAGGATCACTACTTTATTATAAGAATGTGAAATGTCAGAATAATAGTAGAGAAAAAGATTTATTTCAGCTTCTATTTCTTTCATCACATTCCCAGTAGGTCAGAAGTTTACATACACTCGGTTACTATTTGGTAGCATTGCCTTTAAATTGTTTAACTCGGGTCAAACATTTCGGGATGCCTTCCACAAGCTTCTTACAATAAGCTCCCGGAATTTCAGCCCACTCCTCCAGGTTTGGAGGCCTCCTTGCCCGCACACGTTCTGCCCACAAATCTTCTGTTGAAGTCATGGCTTTGTGATGGCCACTCCAATACCTTGACTTGGTTGTCTTTAAGCCATTTTGGCATAACTTTGGAAGTCTGCTTAAGGGTCATTGTCCATTTGGAAGACCCATTTGCAACCACGCTTTCACTTCCTGACCGACGTTCTGAAATTTGTGAGTGGTGACGTAACATTCTGTTTGAGTCCAAACTTCAATTTGTTCTCCTCTCCATATGCCACAGGTTAGCTGTCATTTACCGCTTTCCTTGGTGATAGGAAGGAGAAAAATAAATGGCTACAGTTGATTAGATAAGTCACTTATTTTTAAATTAATAAAAATAAAACTTTTAAAAGTGCGTTGTTTTGCTACCATGTAATGTAGCTAGCTAGTTAGCACAAAATTAATATAAACACTAATACATTGATACATTTTATGCTGATGGAAGTAACAGTAAAAGCTGGGAACTCTTAAAAACAAGTTATTCATATAACTCAATATAAATTTACTATGATAAGGTAGGTTATTATGCTACCAGGCGGAACGGCAACACTAATATATTTGCACATACTCTACTCACAGAATACATTACTTGTAATCCATAGACTGTTGCATATTACCTTATATAACCTACTGTAAATATCAGTTGTACATATCTATCGGTAAACTAGTTCTGACTGTACGTACTGTAGATACTGCACACTCTGTACTGCTGTTATTGCAGTTCTGGTTAGATGCTAAACTATTTCCTTGCCTTGTACTTGTACATGGGTAATGACAAAGTTTAATCTATATTTGAATCTTAAGAATATAGTCTTTTTATTTTTTACTCTGTGATGCCTCACTTAAAAATGTTGTTGTGTAGAGGGTGACAGCCTCTGTCATTTGGGTCTTGGGAAGTTTGGACCCGGATGTGGAATGTTACATCACACTTAAGTGAATTTTCTCACTCTCAGAACCACATATGTCTGCAGTGTTTAAAGATGGGTGGAAAACAGACATTTTGCTTTTCTGAGAAAATTGCTTGTCCCCCCCCTTCACATATTTTATCGTGGAATGTGCCAGTGGTTCATGCTTTTGTTTTACAGCGCTGCCAGTTTAGTAACCTATGAGCTTCCAACATTAACTTTTGTTGTAGGGCTATTGTACTGAGCCGTGTCCAACATCGGTGCTAGAGTAATTCTAAACAGGTTTTAGTATGCATCTGTATTCACACTAAAAAAAATTGACAAATTAGACTTGGAAGCCAACACAAGGATAAATACTTTTTCATAAATAGAAATCATATTGATGTTTCGTTTGAAACCAGAAACATCAATATCTGCCTCAGAAACCCCGAATTGGTCAGGCTGTACTTCATACCACAGTAGACATTGTGATTACACGAATTATATACCCACTATATATATATATATATATAATCAGTTGTTAATAAACCATTATTTTAAATTCCCACCTCCACAGGCCATTGAATGCATCACACAGGGACGGGAACTGGAGAGGCCGCGCACCTGCCCCATGGAGGTGTACCTGCTGATGCAGGGCTGCTGGCAGAGACAGCCCCAGCAGAGGATGGTCATCAAGGACATACACAGCCGCCTACTGGCTCTGGTCAAGAACCCGCCAGTTTACCTGGATATCCTGGGCTAGAGGGGCCAAGAACCAAGCAGGAAGAGCAGGTCAGAGGCTGTTGAAGTTGGAGTGTTGATTTGATACTTCAGGTTCCTCATGGCTTAGGTCTGAAAATCAGATTTTTCTTGTATCTGTTTAAAGACCAGTAGGGTGGTAAATTCACATTTTCCCAGTTGCTGCTTTTCCAGCCTTGATGCTCGACAGCCAGCACAAATAATCTGCAGCGACTTTTTTGCTTCAGTTTGGCCTCATCCCAGCTCGACCCCAACTCCTCTGGAAACCTGTCAAATGTTTACCAAGTGTTTAATTTGATCTGAATTGTGATCAGCCTGATGGAGAGACGTGCATTGATAAGTGTTGAAGTAACAATATATAGGCACTACGTTGCTGGGAACGCGATTTGAGCTAAGTCCCTGCAGAGGTTTGGGGTCTGAGCTGTGGAACATTTATACGACTCCACAGCCGGCGCTTCTGTTGCAGGGCAAGAAAAGAAACGGATGATTACTGTTGTCTCCATGAGTCAAAAGTGAAAACCAATTTTACAGATTTGGATACAGCAAACAGTCATTTGTACAGTAGAGCAGCTGACTTTGGAGAAGTTTTGATATCGGAGGTTATTTAAAAGCTTTCAGTAAATATAAGATATCCGAGCTATAAATCAAACCCGTTGAAAGCTTGTTTGTGTCAGATCCAGTGTATCATAGGAATATTTTTCAAAAACAAGAACAAAATGTCACATTAGTAATGAAAGTATCTCCAGGTATATTAACCAGTGTTTACATGTCGTCTGTTTTGATGTTAAATATGATAATCGAGTGATAAAGCACCTCAGCCCCATCAAGTTTACAGTTTGTGCTGGTATCCCTGGAGCTCTTGATCATTTGAAGGAGGATCACACACATACTCTTTATTTCAGTAACAGTCACAAAACAGAGACCCTGGGTCTCTGCAGTCCTCCTCCTTCAAATGTCCAATATATAGTATTAAAAAAAAATTCCAAAGAACTGAGGTTTGACCTGTGACCTGCCTGCAAGACTCATTCAGGAGTGGCTTTTGTACAGATCAGTGCTGTCTAACATGCTGCTGTAGCCTTCGAAATCAAAGCACTGCAGTGAAATTTGGTATGAGGGTAGTGGGGGGGCAAGATGGTGGGGACGAGGTAACAGATGGATTAAAGTGAGCGAAACTCTGGGATGAGAGGGACAGATGGCACTGACACAGAGACTGGAAGTGAGGCCACCACCATGAGGGTGGGACAAAAAAACAAATGGGGCATTTAGAGGGTGGTGGACTCCTGTGTACAAACCGCCGTGATGCCTTCAAGTGTAAATATTGAATGTACATACTCTGTATGAATGTTTAAAAAACATCATGTATTGTTACTTCAGCACTTTGTACTGTATATTGTTTGCCCTTGAAAATAAACAGACTTGGTTAAAACCTGGCTACAGCCTGCGTAGGAGCGTCCCCCAGCATCAGTCAATCCATCATTATCGTATGCTTCACAGTGAACAATGATTTGCGCTGCCTTCTGTACTTGAAGGTAGACATCCTAACAAGGCTATTCAAGAGCGTTCTATTATTTTGACAAACTAATCAGCAACCTGCGAGCAGACAGTTATTGAAAAGGAATAATCACATTTCATATTGCCTTACCACTGGCCCTCCAGCAAACAAACACCCTTCAAAACCAAAGCCCTCTATCTACCTCACACCGCCACCCTCCCCCATCATGCTGTATGCAGAGCATCTCCAGGGAATGGTAATGGATTGTGAGTAATGCTATCATCCCTTTCCCTGGCTCTCCCTCTCTGGCTCCTCTGGGGGGTGGGCTGTGAAAACACTTGGACCTGTGTCTGGCTTATTGTTTCTTCTAGTGTCTACAAGCAGATTCTGGCCAGATAAGATTAGCATGCTCTGTAGTGTCTGCTTCGTTTGTGGTTTCAGAAAGACCCTTTTTTTTTTTTTTTTTTAAGCCCTGGGGCCTACAGCCCGGTT